CAATCCAATATCTGGCTGTATCCAGCAACTAGATGTGCTAGATCGTGAATTCCGGTCCGAGTGGATACTGAATGTTACAGCATACGATAATGGCAAGTTTGTGGAACGCTCAAGCAGTGCATTAGTGTATGTACGGGTCCTCGATCAAAATGATAATGCGCCGGTTATCTTGAATGAGCAGCTGGATGTTTTTATACGAAAAGGAATCAAAAAAGGTTTTCTTAGAAGTTTTCTGTTTGTAAAATAATTACACGTCGAAATGCACCCATCATTTGGATTATTACTTTAGTTGTTGCAAACTTATAGGGAATGCCAAAGCTTACTCAGAATGCTTTGCCTTCGTCAACGAAGTCATCGAGTCAGTGTTCTTAATTGACGTTAGTTGGCGCCGTAAACTGCGCCGAAAAATAGAGCTTCAAAAAATACAGCGTCGGAAAAAGCGCATAGCCCCGAAGAACAAACCCTAAGTAAACTCCACTAAAAAAATCGTCGAATACGCGCAGGAAACGGCTGCCCCGCTTACCGAACCTTCATAAACATGATGAAGTCGTTGATCATCCGCACTTACTCTCGATTCCCGCCCACTACGCTCACAAAAAAGGGTACAAGAATAAGGAAAAGCAAAAACATCGAGAAATAACAAGAAATATCATAGCTACGCGAAGTTGCCTGGAGGGGTCCCTCTTCATTAGTTATATCTGGAATATATCATGAAAACCCAGTCGCATCAGATTCCCACACCAATTGCTGAGGCGATTCTGACAGCTTGATTATTACCAGTATGTTTTCTGATATAATAATTTCAGGCGAAGTGGTGTATATTTTGAATGCATACGACCCGGATGATGATGTCCTGCATTACAGCCTCAGTGGCTCGACTGCTCTGTACTTTAACATTCTCCAAAATGGCGTAATTGTTGCAGTCCGAGAACTGGTCATGCAGGATTACTCATTAACCGCAGTGGTTGCAGACCAACAAGGCCTTAACACATCCGTTGATTTAGCATTTTACACCGCTGAAGCCATCAAATTCCCGATTTTCGAGGTAACTTTTGTAAGTTTGATGTTTCAACTGACAAAAAAACCTACGTCTCCCTACAGATCACTCACAAATCTTGATTATCAACTACTGAATCCCTTGCTTCCAGCAAGTAAAAGAAACCATAAGCAATAAATGAATACATTCCGAAAGCACCCGAAGTGAGGAAGAATAAAATATGAAAAAAGTACATATATTCTAAACACGAAAAGCACATCTAAAAAATAATAAAGATGTAAAAAGTACTCCTTAAAAAATAAAAGTACAAAAGCGATTTAAAAAAAGTACATTTATTCCCATAAATTGGTTCGATAGCTTTCAAAATTAGTTTACTTGGATAAGATGCGTTCATAGTGTTGTTCTTCAACTACGCAGATGGCAACTTTTCCAGTTTTCTTGAACAGTGCTAAATCTCGTGGTGGTCAGCCCACTGGCGATTCTGATTGCCCGTTATTTTTGTATTTAAAGTTATGATTGTAGGGTTTGATAAGAGCAAGCTTCAAAGGTATTTAAATACTTTATTTTTAAATTTTTAGTATTCTTAATGAAAATATAAT